AGAAGAAGAAGAAGAAGAAGAAGAAGAAGAAGAAGAAGAAGAAGAAGAAGAAGAAGAAGAAGAGCTGGTGGTGATGGAGGAGGAGGAGGAGGAAGAGGAAGAAGAAGAAGAAGAAGAAGAAGAAGAAGAAGAAGAAGAAGAAGAAGAAGAAGAAGAAGAAGAAGAAGAAGAAGAGGAGGAGGAGGAGGAGATGGTGGAGGAAGAGCAAGAAGAAGAAGAAGAGGAGGAGGAAAAGGAGGAGGAAGAAGAAGAGGAGGAAGAAGAAGAAGAAGAGGAGGAGGAGGAAAAGGAGGAGGAAGAAGAAGAAGAAGAAGAAGAAGAAGAAGAAGAAGAAGAAGAAGAAGAAGAAGAAGAAGACTGGTTTTTTTTTATTTTCTCTGAGCTGGGTTGAGCTGAGCATGGCTGGCTGGAGAATTCTGGGAGTTGAGGTCCACCTTCTGGGAATTCTGGGAGTTGAGGTCCACCTTCTGGGAATTCTGGGAGTTGAGGTCCACCTTCTGGGAATTCTGGGAGTTGAGGTCCACCTTCTGGGAATTCTGGGAGTTGAAGTCCACCTTCTAGGAGTCTGGGAGTTGAGGTCCACCTTCTGGGAATTCTGGGAGTTGAAGTCCACCTTCTTCAGGCGGACTTCAGGTTAGCAGGTTAGTGAACCTGGGCTAAAGAGAAGTTGCCGCTGTTGTGGGCGCCCCCCGTGTGACAGAGCCACAATGTCCTTTGCTGTCCTCAGGGGCTCCTGGCTGGGCCTGAACGTCTCCTGGGCTTTTCCCATCGTTTCTGGCAACCTTCTCATCCTGACCATCCTCTACTTCTTCCTCACCAGTTTCACAGACACGGGGATCCTCCACAAAGGTAAGCGAGAGTTCCCCTTACCCCACCCTTCTTGCCCGAAGGGCATCCCAAACAACCCTAGAATCGCAGAACCTTACAGGGCGCCTTAGAGGTCATCTAGCCCAACCCGCAGCTTTCGGTGCAGAAAGCTATGAAATTATCCCATGATGACAAGGTTACCTACTTCCCACTTTGGCCACCTTCAGCAAGGGGAGCCCACTCCTTTCTCCTCTTCCACTGTTCATCCACTGTTAGCCCCCCCCCAAAAAATTTTTTTTACCCACTTTCCTTGAAGAGGCTAAAAGTCCCTTTTTTCTCTGTGCCGTTGTAACTTTGAACGGCCGCTAAACAAATGCTTGTAAGTGGAGAACTACCTGTAGAAGTGATGCGAGTAGCTCTCCCTCCCTCCCTCCTCATATTGTTATTGTTATTATTATTATTATTATTATTATTATTATTATTATTATTATTATTATTATTATTATTATTATTAGTTTATAATATAAAATACAAAACTGGGAAAGAAATGAGTAGGTGCCTTGTCTGTGGGGTTTTTCTCCTTACTTTTCAAAACTACCCAAACTGGTTTTTTTGTGTGTGTTTGTGTCTGTGTGTGTGAACTCCTTGCAGAACCCAAACACAACCAACCTAGAAATAAGGAGAAACTTCCTAAAAGTTAGAACAATTAACCAGTGGAACTCCTCGCCACCAGAAGTTGTGGGTGATCCATTACTGGAGGCTTTTAAGAAGGGACTGGACAGCCACTCGTCTGGAAGAAGAAGGAAGGAAAGAGAAGGAAGGAAGGACAAGGAAGAAAGGAAGGCAGGAGGGGGAAGGAAGGAGAAGGAAGGAAGGAGAAGGAAGGAAGGAAGAGAGAAGAAAGGAAGGAGAAGGAAAGAAGGAAGGAAGGAAGGAAGGAAGGAAGGAGAGAGAAGGAAGAAAGGAAAGAGAAGGAAGGAAGGAAGAAGAAAGGAAGGAGAAGGAAGGAAGGAGAAAGGAAGGAGAAGGAAGGAGGGAAGGAGAAGGAAGGAGAAGGAAGGAAGGAAAGAGAAGGAAGGAAGGAGAAGGAAGAAAGGAAGGTGGGGGAGGAAGGAAGGAGAAGGAAGGAAGGAAGGAAGGAAGGAAGGAAGGAAGAAGAAAGGAGGAAGGAAGGAAGGAAGAAGAAAGGAAGGAGAAGGAAGGAAGGAAGTTCCTCAGAGGGAGATCAAACCTAGAAATAAGGAGAAATTTCCTGACAGTGAGAACAATCAGCGGAACTACTTGCCACAAGAAGTTTGTGGGTTGCTCCATCCCTGGAAGTTTTTAAGGAGAGATTGGAGGGCCATTTGTCTGAAATGGTCGAGGGTTTCCTTCCTCAGCAGGGGGTTGGACTAGAAGACCTCCGAGGTCCCTTCCCAATTCTGTTATTCTATTCTATTCTACTCAGTCAGGCTTGTTTTTCACACCTCGTGGTCTCCTTTCCTTCCCTCCCAGGCATTGAAGAAGAGCTGGAGAACCAGGCCAACACGCTGAGCAGCCGCCAGCAACACTGGTGCAACAACTGCCAGTTATATTGCTTGCCGCACACTTTCCATTGTCGCTGGTGCAACATTTGTGTGGAGGTAAAGTACGGCTGGAAGAGACAAACACACCATTTCCACACACACACACACACACACACACACACACACACACACACACACACACCGTTAAGCTGTAAAACCAAACACCTGTGATTGTTTGAAGTTTACAACGGTACGGGGAAAAGTCACAGCCATGTTTCACACTTAATGACCGTTGCTGAATCTCGCACGGTCAGGCGATCAAAATTCAGAACGCTTGCCTCGTATTTATGACGGTCCCAGGAGGGGGAGAGGTCGCACGATCCCCTTTTTGCGACCTCGCGGCAAGCAAAGTCGACAGGGAAGCCAGATTCGTGACTCACTTAATGACTGTTGGTGATTGACTTAACAACCAAGGCAAGAGAAAGTCTTAAAATGGGGCGAAACCCAAAACAGCGGCCTGGGTCGGTAACAGAAATTTGGGGCTCATTTGTGGTCATAAATCGAGGACTTCCTGCACTTTGGCAAAAGCAGTCCCTAATAAAGCTATTGGTTCACTTAAGGATGGCAGCGCTCGCTTTACGACGCCAACATTTGCTTAAAGGACCATTGCAAAAAATGGTGGGAAAATCAAGCCGGTCATGTGAGTGACCTGCTTTACAACTGCCACACTCTACAACCATGATGGGCAGGCTCTATTACGGTTGTAACTCAAGGACTTTCTCAAATGCATTTCCTGGTGGTCTCTTATCTGAAGCTACTAGTAAGATCAACCATCTGCAGTGACCTCCTAACAAGTAGTCAGCCAGCTGTCTTTCATGCCTAAGGTGGGACTAGAACTCCCAGGCTCCTGGTGATTGGGCCAAAGTCACCCAGTCAGCTTTCATGCCTAAGGCAGAACTAGAATTCCCCCTCTCCTGGTGATAAGACAAAAGTCACCCAGTAGCTTTTATGTCTAAGGC